ACTCCACTCCACCTGCCCAGTCTTAGATTGCGGGGACAATGGGACCTAAGCCCTTCGCTTCAAGTGCTGTTCCCTTGTGGATGAAAAAGGGGCCACATACTAAACCTGACAAACTCAGAAGACGCCTGCATGGAGGACTCTACAAACTCAAGAGACCGGAAGTAACCACAGAGGTTGGTTTGAACATAAAAAGTTCCTAACTGAAAGTGAGTCATGGAGAGCCCACCGGCATGGCTCAGTGCTTAAGCATCACCATGAGGTCAAGGCATATGCCTGGGTTGTGGGCTAGATTCAGAGTAGGGGGTGTACAGGAGGCGGCTGATCAATGATTCTCTCTCATCATTGATGTTTCTATCTCTCTCTCTCTCTCCCTTCTCTGAAATCAATAAAAAAGTATTTTTAAAAAATGAAAGTGAGCCCTAGCTGGTTTGGCTTAGTGGATAGAGCGTCGGCCTGCGGACTGGGGGGTCCCGGGTTCGATTCCAGTCAAGGGCATGTACCTTGGTTGTGGGCAGCTGATCAATGTTTCTCTCTCTTCGATGTTTCTGACTCTATTTCTCTCCTTTCTTCTCTGTAAAAAATCAATAAAATATATTTTAAAAATAAATAAATAAATAAAAGTGAATCATGGAGGGATCTCTAGCCCCCAAATCTGATCTCTCACTGCCCTTGCTCTGAGGAAACTTCTGAATCTGAGTCATTGGTCTGAGATAAATAAATAAACAAATGTTTAGTTGAATAAGTGGATGAACAACAACAGAAAAAGTGAGTCATGGAGGACAGTCATGTCCTGGGTCTGTAGTTTCTTTGACCAAAGATCAGTTTTTACCTTAACTGAGCTGACTGTTGTCTTTTTGCATCGATGATAACATACCTTTGGATGGTCAGAGTAATCTTTTTCAGATCCCTCAGGGCACAATCTCCCAGCAGAGCATGAGACCACCGAACCCCTCATGTTATCTTGTTCTCTGCATACCATCTCTATGTGCTGTAGATGATCATTGTTAACTATCCTATACCCACTACTGTAAAAGAAGTATGTGTCTCTGTTTCACGTTTTATCCAGTCCCAGAGTTTTCCCCACTTTGCTTTCTCCTGCCCCCTTAATGCACCATCAACAGATTTCATGTAACCTCTCTACATCTCCTCCTTTGATTCTAATGTATAAAATAAGCTGCAAAACTGCATTCTCTGGAGCATTTTCTCAATCCCTTGAGATTTTGCTTCCCAGCAATTGTCAGTTTGTCTCAAATCAACTCATAAACATTCTCTACAGGTTTGGATGCTTCTTATCTTGAAACAGGAGTTAAAAAGGGGTCAGGAGAAGGAAATCACTTATTGAATGCTTATTGTAAACCCTCACTCTGGGCCTGGTGCCTCAGATGCTCTTTTAGGATTACAATCTTGACTCCATGATCAGAAAATGGGTTCAGGAGAAAGAGCCCGCAGCAAGGCTTGTGTGGTTTGTCTGTGTGAGTCCCCACATTCCACTTTCCCACGGGGCAGATGTGATTGCTGCCTGGAAAACAATGTCCTTGGAGATGTCTCTACTTTGGAAGTTCTAGAAAGTGGAGGGTGCTTTCTGGAAAAGGTGCCAAAGTGTAGAGAGCATGCAGGGATATCAGAGGTCTGGCCAGATTCTACAAGGCCTTGCAGTTCACCTAGGGCTCCACACTGTGATCGAGGGGGAGGGATGAAATTGAGCAGAACTGTACTTGTTCCATGAACTCTTGCTGGTGATCTCACGGTTTGGAAGGAGACTTCCTAAAATGAGGCCTTCTGTCCCTACGAACTGAACTTAGATTGAAGGGTTTTGTTATCAGCATAATTAGCTAGTTATTGATATTAATAATAGGAAGAGAGCAAAGAGAGAATCAGACACTGTAAGCATGGTCATCTGGCAGCTTCACCAGGAAGCTACAGCTTCATGCTCCCCGGGGAACCACCGGTCCATTCCCTGCAGATCACTGGGGAAGGGACCAAACAAAGGGGAGATGGGCACGTGCACAGTGAAGTCAGTGACAAAGGGGAGGTGCTTGCCTGACAGTTTGGCCTGGGAAACAGTGGATTGGCTAAAGGGTGAACCCCATCAGAAATACACAAAATCTTGGAAAATTAAAAATCCCCAAAGAGTTCCCTCCCCTTTTCTCTATTGCTCCATGTATTTGAATGTTCTCTCTCCATAGCCATGTGGCCTGAAGCAGCTGCATGGCCCATGGCCATGTGGACCCCTCACACAATGGACTGCAGCTGGAAACATAAGCTAGTCAGATGCTGGACTAGACTTTAATATGGAACAGAAATTCTGGGCAGTGGCCTTAATTCTGGCCCTGCTGAAGACAAGATTGGACTTCTTCCATGGCAAGATGGACAGAGATGGGAGTTTGGAGGGGAATCCCCTTAATTTTACATCATTAATAAAGCTTTCCATGAAACCCATCATCCCGTGGGGGAGGGGGGTCAGGAAATTATTTTCCTCATGGCACCCAAGAACTCCACTTCCACTGATAATAGTTTGAGACAGACTAGTAAGCCAGGACAAATGGAATGGGGAAACAGACAAAGAGCTGAAAAAATTGGCTGAGCAATTTACAGCCAGATACATAACATCTAGGCCTTAGTTGTATTTCAGCTCCAGGCTCAGAAAAGCAGAAAAACCAGGTGGGCAATGCCAGGACCAGCAACAGCGACTAATGACTAACGACCCGAAGAACACACCTGGAAAACTGATGAATATTCTGCTGAAATCCTCCCCTGAGGCCTCCCCTAAGACTCCTACCTGCAAGAGAGATAAAAGCCTCAAGATAAAGAACCCAGCTGCTCTTGCTCTGGGGAGCACACCCACGTCATTACCTTTCCCCTCTTCTTCCCCCACAGGCACCCATTTACTAAATTCTAAGGGACCTCAAGAGCCTTGCAACCAGGGGAGCATGGCAGGGGCAGCTCATCCCAGGCTAATCCCCTGAACCTGTCTTCGAGGCCCTCTTTTCTCTGACTCCCAGAGAGCTAAGGCAATCCAGCCTAGGCTCTCCTGTTGCTTCTTCTACCCTAACCTAAGCCCTTCCTGTTTTACTGTCCCCAGCTTTATTTTTTATATTTTTAAAATATATTTTATTGATTTCAGAGAGGAAGGGAGAGGGAAAGAGAGATAGAAGCATCAATGATGAGAAAGAACCATTGATCGGCTGCCTCCTGCACGCCCCCTACTGGGGGTCGAGACCACAAGCCAGGCATATGCCCTTGGCCAGAAGCTGATTCTCTATCCACTGAGCCAAACTAGCTAGGGCTGTCCCCAGCTTTAATTAATGTACCCTTATAGTCACCTGGGCTTGTGAAATTTTTTCTACACCAAGTCAATTCACACACTACTGGCTGGCCCTAGCAAACCTGCTCAGGGGCAGGTTCCTTGTTTGGTAACAGGTTAGAGTGGTTGGGGGTTTGCTCACCATGATGTCCACCTGTCAATCCCCTAAAGTAACTCCTAGTTAAGGTATATCTACCTATACAAATAAACATCAGCGTGTGTGTGGAGGGGGAAGGCAATTTAAGAAACATTTCTATTTTGATTAGCCTGAAACATACAATCTAAGTGGCAACTTTGCTTACTATGTTTAGTAGTAAACAGGTTGCTTTCACTTATGCTGAGAATGCATATGAGCTTCCAGTAAGTCCAGCCCAGGCCCTTCCTTCCCAAGCCTTGCTCTCTAAAGGGGCTGGACTGGCCACAGGGGATAATAATGTCAGGAAAAGTGCTTAGTGAGGGGTTTGGAAGCAGGAATTGCTCAGGTTGTCTTGGCTGTCTAGCTGTATTCATTCCTAGATGTGTTTTGTCAAGTCAACCCTCACGCATTCAAAAAGGAAAAGGGTCAGCAGCCTGTGAAGACATTTTGTGGTAGTGTTGATCTGTAGCTATTAACACGAGATAAGCACCTTAAGTAAAGCTGTTCAGCCACCAGCAGCGTCAGCCTTGGTGTAATGGAAAAAACAGAACTTGGGAACTGTGTAAACTCAGGCAGGGTTTCTAAACTTCCCAGAACCCATTCCTCCTCTCTAAGGTCAAACTGATAGTGCCTCTTCCGTTTGTGGCGGAGAGGGTTGAGAGAGGGATGCAAATCCCTCAGCCCAAGGGTGTGCACTGACAGTAGTAATTTACATCTCAATCCAGGACTCTGACTCTTAACAGCTGCTTTCCTGGTTGAATCAACTTCAAGCAGGAAATGTCTTGGCCCCCATGGATTCTAAGTTTCACCTCTATAGTTGAATGTTTGAAGTTTTAAACCTAAAAAGTGCATTTGGCTTAAAAGCTTAGAATTGTCAAAGATGTTGACCACAAACTTATATCTAATAATGAAAAAATGGGCAACAATTTGAATGTTATTCAGTAAATTGTAGAATAAATCAGCATAGCTATGAGATAGAATACTTCGAAGCATTAAAAGTGTACTTAATATCTGTTTTTATTGATTTTAAAGAGCAAGGAAAGGAAAGGGAGAGAAAGAAACGTCCATGAAGAGAGAAACCTTGATCGGCTGCCTCCTGCACGCCCCCTACTGGGGATGGAGCCCTGAAACCCATGCTTGTGCCCTGACTGGGAATGGAACCAGCGACCTCTGGGTGCCTGTGGCACCGTTCAACCAACTGAGCCACACCGGCCAGGGTTAAAAGTTGCTTTTGAATAATATTTAGTAACAAGAAGATGCTTGTGATAAAATATTAAAGAAAAGCAATAAACAAAACATACAATATGACGTCACTCTAGAAAAACAAGTAAAATACGTAAAGGCAAAGAAGCACCAAGAGCAAGTACTTCCCGCTGGGAGTCGGGAGGGGGTGGGATGAAGTACTTTCATCCTGTATTTGTGTTTTTTTAAAATTTCCATCAGTGATCACGTATTGCCTTTAAATCCGAAAATACAGGACTAGCGAATTCGTCATGGCCACAGGCCGGGCGTGGGCGGGACCGGGGCGGACCCCAGCGCCCCACTGGCGGCGCCCAGAGACCCCGCCCCAGGGGCCGACGCGACGGGGCGGGGCGCGGAGCCCAGCCCAGCACAGGCCGGGGCGGGTGGTGACAGACTTGCGACGCCTGGAGGCCGGGAACGCACCGTCAGGATCTGCCAGGCAAGTCAGGGGGCCGCGGCCCTCCGGAGTTGGGGACTGACGGCCGGCGGGGGCTGAGTCAGGGCTGGGGCGGTGCTGGGCAGGGGCCCCCAAACTTTCTCGGAGTGCGCGGCGGGCCGGGCCGCTCCCGCCCCGGCAGCCGGTGCCAGAACGCGGATCCGTCGCTCTCTCTGCTAGAGTTTCGCTTTCCCCTTGCGCCGGGGGCAGGCGGGTGCCACCCGTTTATCTTTGGGAGCCGAGCGGCTGGTTGTGGGCACCGGCGGGCGGGCCAGGGTTTGAGGGTGTCATGTGCCCCTCTTTCTGGCGCGTGTCTGTCGCAGGGCGTGTCCACAGTGCCATCCCCAGAGTGGCCAGCTGTGCGTGGTGGGAGCACGAGATGGCGTGGGGCCCGCCCGGCCGCAGGTTGCCCGGCGCCAGCCCAGGTGTAGACAGGTAAAAGAGTCCTAGTGAGTGGGGGAAGCGACAGGGTGGAAAGAGCGAGCAGCCCCTGTCCGTGGGTGCGGAAGTGGGCACCTCTGTCACCGTGGCTCTGTCTCACCTTGCCTGCTTCCTGCCACTTCCTCAGGCTGTTCAGAAAGCTACAGGGACAGTATTGTTCTCCTGTCCTCTTTGGGTCAGAGTAAAAAGCAAGCAGGAAAATGGAAAAGGGGTAAACAAGTGAGACTGGGGAAGGAGCCAGGGGACAGTGGGAGGGCAAGTAGAGGAAGAATGCTGGGAGGCTTGGCCCTGATCTTGTGAGTTCTGCATCAGTTCTTGTCCCTGGGGGGGTCTCTACCCCTCTCAGCCCACTGGGGCCTCTAGCTGTGGGGTTCTACCTGAGGGACCTGGACATGGGACATGGGGGTAGGCCTAGGAACCAGGGTCAGAGCCACACACGTGTCATGGAAGGTCCCTCAGGTGTCCAGTTCTCTGGGGCTCTGAAATATTCATCTCATTGGTGAGCTTTGGTTTCAAAGCTGGCGCCTTTGGCCTGGCCAGTGGTGGCAGGGGGAGCGAGATGCTTCCTTGGGGCCGCTTTGTCTGGGACTAAGAGGCAGCCATACTTCCTTCTCACCTGCCTGCGCTCCCTGTCTCTCCAGTCATGAGGACCAGAGACCCAGTTGGTAACTGAGAAGAAAGTGGTGGGACCTCACAGTGTGAAGGGCCCTGATATGCTGTCTCCTTATGCCATGATCTCAGGGCCTCATTGTAAAAATGGGCACCTCAGAGAGGTAATGATGGGTTACACCTTAAGTGTGGGGAGAACCTCATGTCAGGCTGAGGTAATAGCCACCTCAGCTTAGCCTCCTCCCATGGGAATGGGGGCCTTAGCTGCAAGCTGTCCACCTCAGAGCACTTCCATCCCCCCAACTTCTCACCCTGGGCCCTTAGAAAGAGCAGAGGCCCCAGAGAAGGGACACACACTTGTGTGTCCTCAGAGGGAGGGCCAGGGAGTGGAAGCTCAAGCTCATACAGCTCTCTGGGAAGGCCTCCCCTAGCAAAATGACGTGGGCTTTCTGGAGTATTCTGTTGGAAACGCCTGGGAGGGGATGGCCTTAACAGAATCTTCCAACCCTCGGACTCGGGGATTCTAAGCTAAAACCTGGTTGTGTGTGTGTGTGTGTTTGAAGTAGAAATGATATCCAGAAGTCCACAGGCCACAGTGCTGGGTACCTAGAGGGTACTCAATACAGTGGGCAGGGAGGAAGATAAGAATGAGTCCTTCTTCTTGTGTGTAATGATTTGTATTTTTTCTTGTTACATTAAGGTGATGTCAGGGAATGCCAGCCTCCCGGTTCTATGCTAGTTGGAGATGTCACCCAGCCTTGGCAGTAAATCCTACTGTGGAGATTATAATAGCAGCTTGGAGGGAGGGGGAGCGATGAGAGAGGAAGGACCCCCACAGAGGACCCATCCTGGCACTGAGCTAGCTGACTCTCTGAGAGGGGGCATGCCTGGTACTTAATGTGACTGCTCGGAGAGGCTGTATGTAAGGGCCGAGGTTTTAAGAGATGAGGAGTTAGTCAGTAATATTGTGGTGCATGTTTGAAAGTTGCTGAGTAAATCTTAAAAGTTCTTGTCACAAAAAATAAAATTTTGTAAGTTTGTATGGTGATGGATGATAACGGCTTATTGTGACCATTTTGCAGTATATATAAATATTGAATTATTATGTTGTATACCTGACACTTATATAATGTTATATGTCATTTATACTTCAATTTAAAAAAAAAAGATATGAGAAGGTTTTAGGTTCGATCCCAATTCAGGGATCCTGAATTCATAAATAAGTGGAACAACAAATCTATGTTTCTCTCTCCCTTCTTTTCTCAAAAATCAATAAATAGCCCAGCCAGTGTGACTCAGTGGTTGAGTGTCAACCTATGAACCAGGAGGTCACAGTTCAATTCCAGGTCAGGGCACATGCCCAGGGTATGGGCTCCATCCCTGGTGAGGGATCGTGCAGGAGGCAGCCAATCAATGATTCTCTCTCATCACTGATGTTTCTCCCTCTCCCTTCCTCTCTGAAATCAATAAAAAAATATTTTTAAAAAGTCAATAAATAAACATTAAGAAAAAAATAAAGATATGAGGAGTTAGGACATGAGTCATTCTCAAGGTTGGGTCTATCTGTAAAACAAAGGTGGCCTGCTCAGCGTCCATAGAATATTAGTCATTAGGTGTGCTTTGATAAAAATGTTTCGGGCTTGAGAAAGTTTGAAGGAACACTGGGTTAAACAAAAGTTGAGCAGGTTTGCTCACTGCAGGACTTCTCAGCAGCCTAGTATGCCACTGTGCCTTGTGAATTTCCAAAAGGGGATATGGATTGCTTTTCAGACTGATCTGTTTTCAGAGCTCATCCATTCCCATCTCCTGGGCTGTGTTCTTTAGAGCAGTCCAGGGAAGGCCTGGGTGATGATTCTAGCTCTCCACTCTCTGGTCCCCATAACAAGTCCCTCCTCCTCTCCCCCACCTGGGCTGATTTGGGTGAAAAGGAGGGCAGGGGAGGTCATTTGCTTGGATTCCCACAACTAGTTAGTGATAGTCAGAACTTAAACCCAGGTTTCTTGGCTTTCTGCCTCAGTCTTTCTTTTCTAGTGCTACCTGGTTTCGCTTCAGGTTCTGGGGTGAGTGAGGCCCTAGGAGATGCTGGCTGTAGGGTTCAGAGGCAGTTGGGGAGGAGAAGTTTTGGCCACCCCCAATACCCAGAACATGCCACATGCCTTTGCCTCGGTAGACGGTCATCCAGAACAGTTAACATGAGTAGTGACCTCAGCCTATATTCTTCAGGAAGTAGGTCATTCTGCCGTGAAGTCTCCTGTTCTGGTTTGCTCGGGCAGTTCATTCAGAATCAGAGACTGTTAGACTTGGCATGGACTTTGATCTTTTGGTTCAGTGTGCTCATTCACTGATGAGAAAACTGAGCTCAGGGATGTGAAGTGGCCTACCCTGACTCACACAGTGGAGTCAGGACCTGGGCCAGGACAAGAACTCAGCTCCCTGCCTCCTAACCCAGGGCCCTGGCCTGGATGGACTTTCTACAAGGGGGAGGGGACTGGTATCAACAGCAAAGATCTTTTCTACCTCAGCTGGCCTTGGGTGCTGACCTCATCACACAGGTAACTGGTGGGGTGTCTCAGAGGCATCTGCTCTAGGCAGGTGTAAAATCAGACATCAGATTTAGGTTCAAACCTATCTCTGCTGTCCACCTGCTATGGGACCTTAGATCTGTTTTTCTCTTAATTTCAGTTTTGTCATCTGTAGAGTGGGAATAAGAATATGCATCTCACCCAGCTGGTGTGGCTCAGTGGTTGAGCATAGACCTATGAACCAGAAGGTCGTGGTTCAATTCCCAGACAGGGCACATATCTGGGTTGCAGGCTCGAGCCCTAATAGGGGGTGTGCCTGAGGCAGCCGACAATGTTTCTTTCTCATCATTGATGCTTCTCTCTCTCTCTCCCTCTCTGAAATCAATATAAAAAGAATATGCGTCTCATAGGGGCCTTGTGGAGATCCCATGTGCCCAAGTCTTGCGTGGTAAGCACACAGCACTTACTACTTACTGTAAGTGATTCTCTTTTTTCCCTGTTTAATGGCTTCCTCATTCCCTAAACTGCACTCCCAGGCCACTCTGACCACTGACTTGCCTGGGGTCTTTGAGATTATCACACTGATGACACAATTCTGCCCTCAGCAAAGGGTGATGGGGGAGCTGTGGATGCCTGTGTCCTCCCTGCTCTCCAGGGCAGCTTGGAGACTGGAGCCACCCCTCTCAGTCTCTGACTGGAGAGAGTGCCCTGGTTAGACCTGGACTGGGAAGGAAGTCATGGGCTGACAGTCTTATCTATTTCTGAGCAGGAGGCACAGAGAACTGGGGAAATGAGTGGACTGTTCTGGCTCTGCCTCAGGGTGTGTGTGCTGCCTTCTGTTTCTCTGAGTTCTCAGACAGTGGGCAGGGCTGGGAATGACGTTTCAAACCCATGACCTAGAGGGCTTGTCGTGGGCTGGGACAGGAACTTTCTTGGCTCTGGGATTTCCTAGTCTGTCAAATGACCAGATGATTTCTAAAGTCCAACCCAGTTCTGATGTTTCAGTTTTTAGATCCACTCAGCGTCATCCTATTAATCCCAGGGGCCAGGCAGACAGAGGATAAGTGGATTCTGGGCCCATTGGTCTGTGTGCGTCAGGCCTGGTGACATGCCCAGACACTCCTGGGTGTATCTTTTTACTCCTCCTCTGCCCTGGTGGCTATATGCTGGGGTAGGAGGGTGACGTGTTTTCTTGGGTGGGGGAGTTGGGTTAGGTAAAGGAAGAGGGAGGAAAAGAGACTAATAAGAGTCCTGGTTACAGTGGGCCAGGGGCTGCCCTCCTAGGCCTGCTGGGTGGGGTTTCCTGAGATGTGCACTCTGAGCTATTCTTTCCACTCTGGCTCTGGGCATCCATTCCTGGCAGGGAGGAGGGCACGCTGCCTGGACCAGTCAGCTGCTCCTTTCCACCCCTCCTTCCAACACACACACACC